CGACACATGAAGACGGTTATCTCCTCAATCTTGCTCTGTAGCCCGTTGCAGTTAAATTGAAGGAGCTTCATGTGGTTCGGGAGACGTGTCGTGATGTGGGGTGTAAGTGAAGTGTATGTTCTTGCCGTCGTTGGCTGTGTGTGCTGCTGTGGTGATTGCCGCCCTGTGGTGGTGGTGGGGGTTCAGGGTCTGCGACCGAGCAGCGCAACACGGGCCCTCGAAGTTCCCAGTCCAATCTCGCGTGGTACGCAGACCTGATCATGCCCTAAAGTGGCACCAGCCAAGGCAGGTGTTGCACTTGACTGATGTCACATTACGGAATATCCTGGTCTGACATACCGTGCAGATTGTAGGGGGAACCAAGAGTTGTTGGCGGCGGCGTGCGGGTGGTGGTGCGGTTGTGTGTGTTATGTGGTTTGTAGTGGCTGTGGTACGGTCTGTGGTGTTATTATGTTGTTGTGTTGTGGTGACTGTGTGCGGCTGCTGTGTGAGTGTGTGAGGCTGCTCGGGCGGACGGTGGTTAGCCGTGGAGGCTGCTCTGTCTGAGCAACAGGGGGCCACGTACGACGTGGTCCACTGTCTATGTGTCCGTAGTCCCGAGCAGACTCTGAGGTCTGATTCGTAATTCAGTATAGTTAATAATTCAGTTCTCCATGTATATGCATATGTAATAGCGCTTTGTTAATTATAGGTATATTCAATAATTCAGTGTTAAGCATACACATGAACAAATCGCATGTTTAATAACATACAGACGTATTTCAAAATTTGAATTTTGTGGGAAAACGCAATCAAAGTTTGATCAATTCATACAGTTGGTATGAAAAAAGAAAGTTGAAAAGAACCATTGCTTTGCGATGTTTGGGAAGTTTAGCCATCTGTTAGGCTGAGCATGTTCTACTTATCAAGCTTATTAATTGTATGATGAAATCTCCAAAAACGTAAATTTTGAGTTACATCTCTATATTATTAAACGTGCGAAATATAACTAACACCCCTATTCTGCAACTCTTTCGTATTCGGATTTTGCTACGAATCGTAGAAATAGTATGCTACAATCCGAATCGTATTTTCGAACTTTCGAAATTCGTAACAATGGCATGCCTAAAAAAGAACGAGTAAGCTTTTTGCGTAATTTTGTACGAAAACAAAACTGTGTCGGAGGCGAAATAAAAGATGTAAATCGATGTGTGTTTGCAAGAAGGTATAGGAGGAGTTCTGGCTTGGGGTTCAACAATTCAACCAGAAGCTAACATAGATGCGCCCATTGTTACTATGACCGGCAGCTCCGCATACCTTTGTGAGTCCATTGCCATAGCGCGCTCTTCTTACTCCGCTGCTATAACCGCAAATGCATCAGAATCCAAAATTTCCCTCAAAATATTGAAAATCAATAAATTTTACTATAAACAAGCACATGATGTGTGCTTTTTTTAATTCCTTTCCACTTTGTTTTCCTTCATTCAGCTATCTTCGAAAATCAACTGATAGGTGGCAATGCTGCACATGTTTCCGCAAGGGTTGCAGCATGTGGATTTTTCGTTGTTCGTAGCGTAGCTACGAATTACGAATTACGAAAATTCGGGTTCAAGAATAAGGGGGTTAAAAAAATTGGTGCCAAATGAAAGAGGACTTAAATAGCTTTTAAACAGAAATAACGAACGAATGTTACCACTTCTATTTATATATTTTTTTTATAAATGAACACAGAAGAAATGACCCAAGGTTTGTTCTTTTGTAATTAAAAACATTTTTATTGAAATATTTTTCAATAGCTGGCTTTCCTCGTTTAAACATTTCAGTTTTAAAGCAACTTTATTCCTCTTTCAGTTGATACAAAACTTGTTTAATTTGGATAAGAGGTTTTTTTATTATTAGGAAAAGACTTTTATTTACACTTAAAAATATCTGGCCAAGTTTAGCTATTGAAAAAAAAATAACTATTTTTTACGGTCCCTGGAATATTCCGTTCGAATTCCACTGGAGTATGTTAAACGTCATTACGGGGTGAAATATGTTCTCAAGGCTATGTGCTGTTGGTGCTATGTCGAAATCCGAGACGGACGGAGAAGGAGTTACGACGTAATTGTGCCTTTGGATGAGCTGTTGTGTGAGTTGGGTGATCGGTGAAGCGTTAGGGGAGGAGTTGGTATAAGTTAGGTTAGGATCGGGAGATGTAATGTTTGGAATTATAGCTTTGGATGTTATTGGAGTTTCTATTAAGGGATTACTGATGTTTGGTAGGTTGGAAACTTGGTTTGGATAATATGTTTTCAGAGTTACTGTTGATGGAGGAGCTATTCTTTGAAATGCGGTAACTGTTGTGTTTTTGCTTGTAATTGTGCCAGATGGCGGCACATTGCTATTGTCGGCTGTGACGCCCGCGAAAGACGAGGGAGAAGACGTTTTGGGTAGATGGTAAATGTAAATTTATCTTGCTTGTTTTATGGTACACCTTCGTTGGGTCTTGATCTTTAGGATTTCCTTCTGTTGGAGAAACTTTGGACACTTATTCGAGTTAGACGCATGTTCTTCCTCACAGTTGGCACACTTAATGCGTGAACACTCTGCATTAGGATGGGGTGAAATACTACAGTTCTGGCATATGGGTACATTTCTGCAGTTTAATCGTATGCCCCAAGCAATTCTGCAGCGCATGGGGTTAGGTAAGTATTCTCTTATATGCACCTGTCAAGATGCAACCCGGGTAGTAGGATAACAACTGAAATATAATGTTTATTAATAAATTATATGATACAGAATTAAGTATTCAATTCGATTGTCCGGTTATTGAAAAGTTCCGCATGGCTGTTCGTACTTGACTGGCTGCTCGCTCGCTCTCCCCATTCTCACTTTACAGCTCGGCCTCTCGTGACTATCACTAACCGACCTCGGTTAGGCATCTGATGAACTGCCGTCGCTGTCGTCTACCTCGAGTTGTGGGTTAAGCTGACACCATCGTTTCATTTGTTCACTGGATAGTACACTACAGTACCGTTGCTGGGTCACCGGTGCATCCGGTATGTCCTCGACAATATACCGGTCATGGTCCAATATCTTGGTGACCACATATGGACCTTTGTATTTGGCGTCTAGTTTGTGGGTCTCTCCCGTGGCTGTCGACACATTGCTGATCATTACTAGCTCACCTTCAATGTGCCGTGTCGGTTGTTGATGTCGTTCATTGAATCGTTGTTGCCATTTCGATTGTGCTGCTTCGATATTCTCTTTTGCTCGAGTAAGTAACTCATCTCGCTTGTTCTCATCTTGCGGATCCGGTTCGTCGTGGAGTGCCTGGATCAAACGGTTTTGACTGTAGTCTCTTAAGTTGTAGTTGAAAACGATTTCGTTCGGACTCATCTTTGTAGTCGCATTTGACTGAGAGTTGAGACTCCACTGTAGCGTGAGCAAAGTTAAGTCCCACTCTTTCGTAGTCTTCATCGTCGTTCGTATAGCTGGTAAAATAGTCTTAGTGACCTGTTCTGCTTGACCGTTGCCTCGCGGTGTCCTTACGGCTATTTTTATGTGTTGTACGTCCGAGCTTGCAAAAATGTTTCGAACTCTTTGGAGGTGAATGCTGTTCCGCGATCGGTTATGAGTTGAACCGGTTGACCAAACGTGGTCATCACCTCTCGTAGCATGCTAATTACTGGCGCTGATTTGGTGTTTCGTATAGCTTTCAAAATTACGTATTTGGAAAAAGCGCAGGCCAAAACAATGATGTGCTGATTCCCTTTCTTACTTTTGGGGAACGGTCCCAAATGGTCGATGTGCAGTGATCGGAATGGTATTGCGATAATCTCTCTTAAGTGCATCTGCCCTTCGGCTTTGCATCCTCGAACCTTGTAGATGCAGCACTCTGGGCACGCCGCTATATAACTCTTAACGTACCGCCTCATTCGATGAAACCAAAAGTCTCGCTGAATCCGCTGCAGAGTCTTCTCAATTCCGAAATGCCCTGAGTCATCATGGCATGCTTTCGTGATTCTTATCGCTTGAGGAATTACCAACCGCCGCTCGCCATTAATCTTGCGATATAACCTTCCTCTGTGTAGCTCGTAATCTTGTTGATTTTGCTTTGCGGATGTGGACGTTGACTTTAATTGTTGCGATTTCTTGAAATTTCTGATCTTGCATTTGCATCAAGAATACCCAATCGCTGCTACCTTCAGTGGTGACAGCTAAAATACTTTCGGCTACCGTTTGACACTTACTTGGTGGTAAACTAAGTGCTCGGCTCATCCCGTCGACATGCTGCATTTTATGGCCTTGCCGATGAACCGTCTTAAAGTCGTATTCCTGCAGTCTCAACCACCATCTAGCAATACGCGGGAGTAGTGGTGTTGTTGCTTCTGTGGTAACAATAGCGTTACAGTCGGTTACCACAGTGAACGGCTTGCCGAGAAGATACATGCGAAATCGGGTTAACGTTTCGACTATCGCAAGTACTTCCAGCTCGTGACTTGGAAACTGTGCTTCTACTTCCCTACACTGGCGTCTGTAGAAGAAAACTGGTTTTTCCCCGTCATCTTCGCGCTGGAACAGAATTCCGGATAGTCCTACGTGACTGGCATCCGTATGTACCTCCNGTGTTGTACGTCCGAGCTTGTAAAAATGTTTCGAACTCTTTGGAGGTGAATGCTGTTCCGCGATCGGTTATGAGTTGAACCGGTTGACCAAACGTGGTCATCACCTCTCGTAGCATGCTAATTACTGGCGCTGATTTGGTGTTTCGTATAGCTTTCAAAATTACGTATTTGGAAAAAGCGCAGGCCAAAACAATGATGTGCTGATTCCCTTTCTTACTTTTGGGGAACGGTCCCAAATGGTCGATGTGCAGTGATCGGAATGGTATTGCGATAATCTCTCTTAAGTGCATCTGCCCTTCGGCTTTGCATCCTCGAACCTTGTAGATGCAGCACTCTGGGCACGCCGCTATATAACTCTTAACGTACCGCCTCATTCGATGAAACCAAAAGTCTCGCTGAATCCGCTGCAGAGTCTTCTCAATTCCGAAATGCCCTGAGTCATCATGGCATGCTTTCGTGATTCTTATCGCTTGAGGAATTACCAACCGCCGCTCGCCATTAATCTTGCGATATAACCTTCCTCTGTGTAGCTCGTAATCTTGTTGATTTTGCTTTGCGGATGTGGACGTTGACTTTAATTGTTGCGATTTCTTGAAATTTCTGATCTTGCATTTGCATCAAGAATACCCAATCGCTGCTACCTTCAGTGGTGACAGCTAAAATACTTTCGGCTACCGTTTGACACTTACTTGGTGGTAAACTAAGTGCTCGGCTCATCCCGTCGACATGCTGCATTTTATGGCCTTGCCGATGAACCGTCTTAAAGTCGTATTCCTGCAGTCTCAACCACCATCTAGCAATACGCGGGAGTAGTGGTGTTGTTGCTTCTGTGGTAACAATAGCGTTACAGTCGGTTACCACAGTGAACGGCTTGCCGAGAAGATACATGCGAAATCGGGTTAACGTTTCGACTATCGCAAGTACTTCCAGCTCGTGACTTGGAAACTGTGCTTCTACTTCCCTACACTGGCGTCTGTAGAAGAAAACTGGTTTTTCCCCGTCATCTTCGCGCTGGAACAGAATTCCGGATAGTCCTACGTGACTGGCATCCGTATGTACCTCCTGCTCTTTGTGAGGGTCGTACAAAGTCAGTACCGGCTTACTAGTTATAGCCTCTTTCAAATTCGTGAATGCTTCCTGCTGTGGTGTTTCCCATTGGAAGCTAACGTCCTTCCTCAATAGCGTGGTTAATGGCGTTGCTATTTGACTGTATCCCCCTACAAATTTTCGGAAGAATCCAGTTAATCCCAGGAACTGCCTTACCTGAGTTACGTTTGTTGGCTGTGGGAACTCTTTAATACACCACGTCTTCGCCTCTCCTGGTGCTATACCCGCGCTGGAAATTTCGTGTACTAAGAAGCTGACTTCACTGGAGAGGAACACGCACTTAGAAGGCCGCAATGTCAGACCGTCTCGCTTCACCGATTCCAAAACCTCTTGTAGTGCCGTAATACCACCTTCGTTGTTGTTTTTGTTGTAGCGGCTACAGCAACCTCGTCCAGGGCGGTTGGTATCTCAGTCGTTGTCGTCAAGTTCCACTAACGGCAGCCCTAGGAAGCGTGCAGCTTCTGTAGGGTTGGTCCACAGGGACAAGGCCGTTAGGGTTGTCGGGTTTTCCGGGCATGCGAAGAGATGTTTCGAGTCATGTGGGGTCTCTCCGCATGCCGGACACTCATTCAATCTACTCAGGTAGGAGTTTAACCTGCTGCAATAGCCGGAGCGAAGTTGTGCTAGTGTCGTTCGTGTCTCCCGAGGCAGATGAAGCTCCGTCTCGTCTGTGTCCGGGGGCGGTATGCCTAGAACACCATTCACAGGTCTAGAGTCTACATAACTCGAGACTGAGTCCCTGTGAATGCCGTTCAGGGCAAGTCGGTAAGCTGACGGGTCCAGGGGTTGCTTGATGTACCTCTGGACTTCGTCCGTCAGTTCATATAGATGCCTCCTGACGTGTCTAGGCGAGGGCTCCTCTGCAAGCAGCTGTCTGTTTGGGTGGCCACCAGCGTTGCCAGGTTGACGTTTTTAACGTCATTTGGAAGTTTTTTGTATCCGTTTGGACGTTTTTTGTGTAAAAAATGACGTTTTTTAACTTCCCAGTAATTTTTCTTTGTTACTAAATCTTGTAAGTAGAACTGATTTTGAATTATTTACTTAATAATTCTTTACAATCTTTGTGTTTTGCTGCAGCTGCTTCAAAAGATATTTATTTTTTGGACACATATGACTTAAATATGATGCAAACCAAGCCTACGCGCATTTTTTGGATTCTTGGACTAAGGATCCCGTTTTCAAAGGCTGGTTGTGTAAACACTTCAAGTTATGAGGCTTGTTGTTATGTTTGCAATAGCACATTAAAAGCCAAATCAGAAAGAGCCGATCTATGGCAACACGCACGCTCACAAGAGCATCAAAAAAGCTGTGCAGCATAAAACGTCAGAAAAGTAGGCAACTTTTTTAAGACTTTATTGAAAATGTAATGAATGCAAAAAAGGCTGAAGTATTGCTATGCTCCTTCTTAGCAGAGCGTAATTTACCATTTTCGACAACCGAGCCCCCAACCAAATGCCTACAAGAAAAAAAAAATTATTAGAAATCAACGCGATTATTTAGCCCCTTTAAACTTGCACATTATTGCCCTTAAATTTTGATGGGCTATTAAACTGCATACTCAAAAAAATTCTAAAAAATCTGAATAAAAAGTTGAAAATCTAGCTGAAAATTTGCAATTTTTTATAATTTTTGCACAAAGTTTGAAATGTGGATTTATATTTTGTTTGTCATATGAGCTTGGCTTTTATGAAAAAATAATAAACATTAAATAAACAAAAGAGAAACCGCCAAAATCGATCAAAATGTTGATGACTTAATCGCTGATCACAAGTGTATGCATAAAATGATTTTTATATTAACGATCTCAAACCAGTTTACAATGAATTTTAAATGTGCTCTGTCGATATGACATTTTAATACACCTTACGTACATATGTACCTTTGTATGCAATAAAAGTTTAATAAGACACATTTTTGTACATTTATTAAAAAAAATAAGTTTTTGCGTAGGAAAGGACGTTTTTTCAAACCAAAAGGGACGTTTTCTCACACTGGTGGCCACTTCTGTGGCTCCCGATCAGGAACTGCTTGCATAGCATTATGTTGTGCTCCTTTACGGGGATCATTTGCGCCTCGCCGTGGAGATGGTGTTCGGACGACATCAGGAGGCATCCTGTCGCTGTCCTAAGTGCGGTGTTCTGTACAGTCTGTAGCTTCGTCCACTGCGTCCTACTAGTCCCCGGCGCCCACCCTGGCGCTGCGTAGTTGAAAACCGGTCGGCCTATTGCCTTGTATGTTGTCTTTGCCCCAAGTACAGCCGGCTAGCGACTTGAGGACCTTGTTGCGGCTCTGTACTTTATTGACAATAGCGGTTGCGTGCGCAGAGAAGGAGAGCAGGCTGTCGAATGTTACTCCGAGTATTTTGGGGTTATTCATCGTCGGAAGTGGTGTGTCATCGACGTGAATTCCCAGCGGTAGCCTGACCTCCTTCGTCCAGGTTGTGAACAGGGTCGCAGAGGATTTCGTAGGGGAGAGGGCTAGACACTTTGCAGTGAAGAAGCGAGAAAGTTCGGAGAGATACCCGTTTACTTTCGAACACAGGTCATCAATTCCATTTCCAGTCGCCATGATCGAGAAATCGTCGGCGTAAGAGACAATCGAGACTCCCTCTGGTGGTGGAGGGAGCTTTGAAATGTAAAAGTTAAACAGTAGCGGGGAAAGGACACCACCCTGTGGAGCCCCCCGTTTTATTTTCCTGAATTTACTCGTTTTGTCTCTAAACATTACCGACGAGTGTCGACCACTCAGATAATTTGCCGACCACCGTTTGAGCCTCTGTGGGAGAGAGGAGGCCTCTATATCTTCTAGTAGCGTGGAATGGCAGACGGTGTCAAACGCCTTTGACAAGTCCAACGCTACTAGAATCGTTCTCTCACAGGGACGGTTTCGGTTAAGGCCACGAGTTATCTGAGTGTTTATGGCGTTAAGTGGTGTTGTTGTACTGTGCACTTTACGGAAACCATGCTGATGCTTCGCTGGGGTCAAGTGGTTTGTGAAATACGGGAGTAGCAAGGCCTCGAGTGTCTTCGCTACCGGGGAAAGGAGTGTTATCGGACGATGAGAATCTCCTTTGTTGGCAGGTTTCCCCGGTTTGAGCAGTGGGACCACTCTCCCCACCTTCCAGATGTCTGGAATGACGAGAGTGGCCATAGACAAATTGAAGACCTCCGTTAGGTACGCTACCCCCGCAGGACCCAAATTTTTCAGAATCAGCATGCATACTCCGTCGGGACCCATGGCTTTGAAGGCTTTCGCCTTCCCGATGGCCACCTGAACTTCACCGCAAGTGAAAGCAAGGGGGCCACAGGTTGTTGGCAGTTTGTGCAGCCTTCTGGTCACTCGACGCTTGGCTTTGTCCACCGGAGGATGCAGTATGAACTGCCGGCTAAAATAGCTCTCGCATCGCTCCGGGTCCGACGAAGCATGGTCGCCGAAGGAAATTTCGACTCTGTCGTCGTGCTTCGTCGGATTGGACAGCGGGGATCTCCGGGATCGGCCTGACGAAGGCTATCACGCTCATCGGCTAGAACAGCCGCTTCGGCAGGGAAGTTTGGACGTGGGTCCATTATACATCCTGCCGGTATGAAGCGAACTGCAGCAGCAGTGACAGCCCTGCGGAACTTACGTTGACCGAGATGGACGTCGGTTGGTGTGGGAAGCGCTGTGAAGGTGTTTCGTAAGACGATGTGGCTATAATTAGCTCGTCGACGTAGCTAACACCCTTGTTTCGTGATTTGAGTGTTGATATAGTTCGTATGACCATCTCATGGAATACAATCGGCGCGTTTACTAAACCGAATGGCATTACATTGATGCCTCCTGATGACGCCACAACACCACCTACATGCCGAGGCCCAGATGCTCCCAGTAAAGGAGCATAACATAATGCTCTGCAAGCAGTTCCTTGCTGGGAGCCACAGACGTGGCCATCCCAGCGGACAGCTGCTCGCGGAAGAGCCCTCGCCACGGCACGTCAGGAGGCATCTTTACGAACTGCCCTTCTACCGACAGGTCCTGAGCGGCAATCACAGGAAATCAGTCTCAAGTTATGTAGACTAGGCACACAACCACCGGACGTGGACGGGACATAACTTTGCCTCGGGAGACCCGCACTATAATAGCCAAACTTCGCTCTGGCTATTGCAGCAGGCCCAACTCCTACTTGAGTAGAATCAACGAGGATGTGCCCAACCAATGCCCGGCATGTGGAGAGTCGCCACATGACTCCCGGCACCTCTTCACATGCCCTGAGAACCCCCCTCAGCTAACTCCCCTGTCCATATGGACAGCCCCTGTGGAAGGCGCACACTTCCTGGGCCTCCCCCCAGCTGAAATTGACGACAACGTTGATGGATGAACCGCCCCGAACGGGGTTTAGTAGCCGCTACAACAACAACAACAACATTGAATTCATACAAGCCTTCGTGTGTTAAGAATGCTGTGAATTTCTTGCACTCTTCTTCTATGGGTATCTGATAATACCCGCTGGTCATGTCTAACGTTGTGAAAAATCTCCCGCCACTTAACTTTGACAATTGTTCAACCACTGCCACCGGAAAATGTTCCCGCACGGTTACCGCATTTAACGCGCGATACGCACATTCTGCTCTCGCCGTTGGCTTTTGTTACCAGAACTACGGATGCTGCATGGGGTGATACACTGGGCCGAATAATTTCGTTAGCCAATAGCTCCTTCAATATCGTTGATAGCTTTTGCTGCTTCGCGAATGGTACTTGGCACCGTTTACCTACAATCGGACCTGGAGTAGCAACCTCAATGTTCAGCGACGTTGTCTTGCATCTGCCCAGCGTGGAAATACCCTCTGCAAAACAGACATCGTAACCCGCTAACAGTTTTTGTACCTTCTGCCTTTGGTCCTCCTTCAGCTCTTTTTTAACGTTAAACTGGTTCGTGGTTTTAATTTGCAGCATAATTGACCCTGCGTCAATGATCATCCGTTTATCCTGCCCGCACAGCACATCTCTTTCAAGCAACAGATCATAACTGAGCATGTTGTTTGGGACCTCGTACAGATTTGCCTCAATGACCTTGTCGCCAAACTTGATTCGCATTTTTACAATTCGTGTTACCTCAACAATCGACCCACCAAACCCTTGCAACCGTTGATACGCCGGCTCCGTATGTGCGTCAGTTATAGTAGCTGACTGCCTTATTAGCGAGTGATCGCTGCCGGTATCTATTAAAGCTTGATACCTTACCTGTTCACCTTCGACTTCTTCGACGATTGGCGGAATACGCTTTTGCTCACCTACATATGTTGCTGTCGATCTTAGCAACCGTCACTTTTGATTCCGCTGTGTACTTCTTTGTCTCATGTCCAACCTATATGTCCGAATCCGTCACAGTTGTAACATTTAACACGTTTGCCTTTTTCTTCAGCCGAAACCGGGCTTACATCG